TTCCAAATCTCTTTATTTCCAGCTTTCATGGTTTTTGTTGTTGTTGTTGTTGTTGTTGTTTTGAGACAGGGTCTCATTAGATGATTTAGGCTGGCCTTGAACTCACTGTGTATTCCAAGCTGGCCTGGAACTCATGGCAGTCCTCCTGCCTCAGCCTCCAAAGTGCTGGGCACCACCATGCCTGAAATGAAAAGACCCAAGTTCACCCAGTTAGTCTTGGGTCTCCTCTTGATGAGGAATGTGAAGGAGAATTTTGACTTTTTAAAAGGTTGTAGTTGTCCTTTTCCAAAAAAAAGAAAAAAAAAAGTATTCTCATCAGTTCCACCACTGACTGCATACAGCATTGCCATCCTTGACTCACACGCAGCTCTGCCCTCACCTCAACATGATCGTGGGTCAGTGAAGGATGAGCCAGCTGCACCTTGACGAGGAGCCGCCGTCTGGGTTGGGCGAGAGTTGGGTGAGGAAGCGCCGTTCCACCGGGCTCCCCGCGTTGTCTTGGTCCCCAGAGCCTCCTGCTGGCTCCAGCTGTCCCCTTGCCTCTCTTCCCTTCTCTTCCCCCTGGCCTCCCTGGTCTCCCCCTGGTCTCTCCCTGGTCTCCCTGGTCTCCTCTTGGACTCCCTGGTCTCCCCCTGGCCTCCCCTTGGTCTCCCTGGTCTCCCTGGCCTCCCCTTGGTCTCCCTGGTCCACCTGGTCTTCCCCTGGTCTCTCCCTAGTCTCCCTGGTCTCCCCCTGGTCTCCTCCTGGTCTCTCTGGTCACTCCAGTCTCCCTCGTCTCCCGTTGGACTCCCTGGTCTCCCTCTGGTCTCCCCCTGGCCTCTTCCTAGTCTCCCCCTGGCCTCCCTGGTCTTCCCTGGTCTCTCCCTGGTCTCCCTGGTCTCCCCCTGGTCTCTCTTCCCTCCTCCTTGCCTTCTGCCACACATGCCTGGTGGTCCTGCACGTGATCCTGGTCTCCATCGGTTATGTGGCTTCGGTTTATTGTCCCGTAGAGCTGCTCGGCCTACTTTGAGGAGGTGAAATAAGAAAGCACGCGATACCAGGAACTCCTCCCTTTTACATCTCCAGACACCAAAACCAAAACCAAAAGACATGTGCTTCTTTCTATTTAGGTTGCTTCCACAGACAGAAATTCCATCATTAAAAAGTCACAAGGGCTGGGAATTTGGCTCAGCGGTTCCACCGCCTGCCTCACAAGCGCCAGGTCCTGAGTTCAATCCCAGGTACCAAAAAAAAAAAAAAAAAAAAAAAGTACTTATTAAAAAGTCTCATACGGGCTTATCATTATTTTAATTAAACTCACCGATAAATGAAGGACTGGGCAAGTTGGCAGTGAGCACTGGCGATGTGATGTTCAGTACACCCCTTTCCAAACATGAGGCATTTTTACAGATACCAGTTTGTAAGAAAATTATTTCATTAGAGGTAAAAAGGGGAGAGAAAACCATCCGTCAAGATGTGGGCACACACACGCTCAGTGTGCAGATGCTATTAGGCCGAGACGGGGCTGTGAACGAAATCAGGTGGGTGGGTTATAGAAATCCATGTAACAGTGTTAAATAATCACAGTTCCAGCCGAGATCAAAGCAGTGCTGACCGAATGCTGGCAAGCTGTGAACACAAAGTGTCCGGAAGGGAAAATGTCCGCTTTGGAGACCATCAGCGTCGCCAGGAGGCTGTGGCCGCTCAGTCGCTGCCGGGAGCGAGGCTGAGGTTCACTCTCTCCAGGGGCAGAAAGGGACTCAGTCAGCTGTGCGGCGGACGTCAGGGAAATCCCACCTGATCTGTTTTCAATGCTTGATTTTGCCCTTCGAGGAAATATTCACTTTCACCACCTGGGTACACTTGTCTTCAAAAGGACGAGAGAATATCTTGATTATCGAGGGAAAAAAATGCAAACACAGGTGTATATATGTTTTGTAATGTTCCTAACACATAATAAACTATGGAATCATAAAACAATTAAAATTAGTTCTAAAATGAGACAACCATTTAAATTAAACCAAAACAGAAGTGTTTTGGGCAAACTTAATGTGAAAAACTATATCCCTGTCTGGGACTATTTATCTGCACATGTATCCACGTGATAAGGAGGAGCACACTAGTTTTCCACCTTGCAGATGCAATTTTTAATTTACAAAAAATGAAATTATTATTTTTAAGTTACCCTAAAGATGGAAATATGGAAACTAAATTTCTAGAAATTATATTCTCATATTTTGTATTATCCATTTAAAATATACAAGTTTTGAATTGTGAAGTTGAAAAGCTGACCACATAGAGATTTTTAATGACAGTTTTACAGAGCCAGAACTGAACCTGAGGGGATCCAGGGAGGTGTTTCTGCCAGGTGCTTGGCAGTTTTGCAAGGTCAGGTGTATGGAATGGAGCTGGCACCTGATGTAATGCTGGAAACCTTTGTGTTAGGAGACAAAGTACTGACCCAACCATCTGTCAGTAAACTTTCAGCGTTTCTTAAGAGATTGATAACATTTTAAGGAACACGTGCTTGTGGATAGATAAAATATGACTGTATTAGAAGAATTTAGTAAATTTTTTCCTAATTTGAACAGTTTGCATAGCTCTTCCAGTAGGAGTTTTTTTGTTGTTGTTTTGTTTTGTTTTGGGTACTGAGGGCCTTGCACTTGTGAGGCAGGTGCTGGAACCACTGAGCTAAATCCCTGGCCCAAGTAGGAGTATTTTTAAAATGAAGACTTTCTGCTGGTCACCTCTCTTGTAGGAAATCACCAGTGTTGAAGACAGTGTCTCACTAGGTTTGTGTGATGGGTAGGTTAGGGCAATGGTTTCCTCAGGTGGAGATTTTGGGATGTTATGTTTATGTTTAATATTTTAATAGGAATGCAGTTCATTTGCCAACTAATTTGTTTTTAAAGGGCTATGAATGTGGTAGCTGTGGTATCTTTTCTAATCTATGGAAAATGTCATTTTTCATCTTTAAAACATTAGTTTTAAACCATATTCATTAGTAGTGTCAAAGATGATAAGAAATTATGGGGCTAAACTATTTTAATGAATATATATTGAATATTGCCTATGCAGTTTAAAACAATATAAATTAAGACAATTTCTACAAGCTGCCAGCTAAGTATGAGTTTTATAGATTTTCCTATATTATGTTTAAGATGTCCAATATTCTAAAGCTAAACTTACATATTTAACAAAGGAATAATTTGGTTATTTTATTTCCATTTCTTCCCGTTCCACCTTTTTGATTATGTGTACACTGAACACTTTCTTTCCTTGTTGTTTCTGTAGATCCTTCTATATCACAGAGGTTTATAAGATCCAGAAAGGCCTGTCAGCTGCCCACACTGCTTACAGTGAGATGCTGGGACTTCAGATTGCAGATTAAATTGTGTGTATGTTTGTTGAAAGTAATATCATTGTACCTCACATGTGGGTGATGCTGAAGGACATGATTTTAAAAACCGCTCCATTTTCTTATGTTGAGGACGTTGTTAAGCAGACAAGCAGCGGATAAGCACTGAGAAAGAAATATGAAAAGAGTAATAGAGAAAATAACTATAGTATTTTACGTAAAGCTGGGTTCCGCTTCTGTCTTGCGGTTCAGTAACTTCCGAGATGGGCTGACCTTGGAAGTTTTGCATGATGGCTCTGAATTTCAGTGTCTAAGTTGGTGTTTGGGGTGAGAATGAGACTTGAGATGTCTTTCTTCCTGGCCACACTGCAGGGAGGGGTGGACAGCGGCCTCCTGGGAGCTGTCCAGCCTCCCTGACCATTAGAGTGGCCACGCCCCACCCCCACCGTGTCCCCCTCTTGCACTGCCCACCACACAGAGTGGAGAGCAGACTCTCAGAGTCACAGCACCTCGGGCCAGCTTGATTCATGCCTTGGGGCCGGGCCCAACTTTGAGTAGAGCAAGTGCCACTTACAGGAGCAGGGCACAGGGAGGTGCTTGGTTACAAAGAGTCATTGCTGTGCTGTTTTTATCCCAAAGATTGGTTTTTTGAAAATGTTTGTTTTGTTTTGATTTTGGTTTTTTGAGACAGGGTCTCATTATGTAGTTGAGACAGACCTGGAACTCTCTAGGTAGCCCAGGCTGGTCTCGAACTCACAGTGATCCTCCTGCCTCAGCCCCCTGAGTGTTGGGATTATAGGCCTGTGTCACCACGCCCAGCTTTTGTTTGTTTGTTTTTTGGGTGAAAATGTTAATGAGTTAGCAAATATTTGCTGAATTTCTGTATGTAAAGAGGAATTCTGCTAGACAGCCTTGAAATCATTAATCACTATGATATTTCCTGTTTTTGTTTTGTTTTGTTTTGTTTTTGGATTGGGTGTGAGCTGAAGGCCTTTGTACTGAACTACCTCACTGCTTTTTTTAGTTAATTAATTAATTCTGATTTTGAGGCAGGGACTTGGCTAAGTCACTACATTTCCCAGACTATGCTGGAACCTATGATCTTCCTGCCTCAGCCTCCCAGAGTGCTGGAATGACAGGCGTGCACCAGCACACCGGGCTTTAAAATCAGTTTGAAAGCAATGCTCTTTTAATGACTGTAAGGGTAATAGGCTGAGTCTCTGGAGAAAATAGAGTGATTTGGGCTTGTAGGCGGGAAGAGATGGTTTGGTGCCAGTGTGACCACCCTCAGCGCCCTGAACGCTTCCCACGTTACTGCTGCCCTGGGACCTTCGGGAAAGAAGTCTCCCTTCCCAGTACCACTTCTGCCTCTGCCACCACTGGACTCCCTGCCTCAGTGCCTTTTCCGGTGGCCCCGTGGCGCTGAGCACTTGCCGTCACCCCTGCAGCCTGCAGACGCCCCTGCCCTGGCACAGCCTGCTTTCTGTGGGCCTCGCAGCTCCCCGTCACTTCCGCGTCAGCGGGGGTCTCCCAGCCCCGCCCCCTCTCTCCTCTGAGCCCCGCCCTCCTCTCTCTGAGCCCCGCCCTCCTGGCTCCTCTGAGCCCCCCTCCCCCCTTAGTCTCCGCGAGGATGGGCGTGGCCCCGTGCCCACGCACGCCCTGGGAGGCCTCATCCCCGGGCCTCACCCTACAGGCGCAGTCCCAGAGAGCGCGCTCTGAGAGCCGAGGGAGCGTCTGTCTGTCCCCCAGACACGCATGGTGTCCTTCTCTGGGGCATGGGACACGGGTCATCTTTCCCGTGAGCATTTCTTCTTGGGGCCGTTTCGAACGCGGACTCCGCCATCTCGCAGGAGGCGAGGTGAGGCTCGAGGGCCGTGGCAGCTGGCCGGTCCGGTCCCCAAGCGTGCTGGCTCTGGGCCCGGCCACAGCAAGGTGCAGAGGCTGCTCCCATCACGGCCTTTGCTCGCTTCTCGGACGGCATCCAGGTGAGCCTGCCTCAGTTTCCCCAGCATGTCTCCTCATGTCTTGGACTGCCGCTGTGCTTGACGGGCCTCCCGAGTGGGGCAGGCCTTCAGGCCGCGATGTCCTTTGGGGTTTCACCTCCGTGCCGTCTCTCAGCCTTCCTGTCGCCAACCCTCCTGCTCCGTTTATCCCACGCTCGATTTGCATCTTTAATTTCCACCTGCTCAGCTGCTTCCTTACCTGCCCGTCTCTCAGTGACTCACCTGTTTCCTGTTGCTTGCACACGTGGAGCACGTTTACTGTGCACGCGGGGTGGAGGCCAGACTGGTGGAGATTAGAAATTCCTCGGGACCCAGCTGTCCCTTCTAGGCTTCTTCCTGAGTGAGTCATCACATTACGGTGATCCGTGCACACCCATCGGTATAGCAGCACAGCACAGTTGCTAAGTCTCGGAAGTGGCCCCCGTGTCCATTCCTAGATGAATGATAAGAAACTGTGGAATTTACACAAGGTAGAGTATTGCTGTGCCATAAAAGACTGGTTTGGTCGTCTCCTCCTTCTAAAGCCTGAGCAAGACCCTTAACCTCCTGTGCCTGAGTTTCCTCATCTGCCAACTGAGGATAGTAGTGATTAAATCAATGATAAACGAGAATAGCTACAGTTTGCTTTGGACTTCCTGTGCTCCAGCCAGTTTTAAACGTGAGTTTACCGTCGTAACTCATGCAGTCTGCTGGGACACTGACTGGCCATGTTGGCCCAAGGAGCTGTGTTTCAATCCTCTGTGCAGTGTGGAAAAGTCACACAGCTCATCTGATGGTTAGGTGAGTTCATTTACACACAGTGCTTAGCTGAGGGCAGGTCCGAAACAAAGGCTCTGGAACAGATCGCCAGCACAGGCGTGACTGTTACAGATACCTCCACATAGTATTCAGTGAGCCCCTAAATGTCACAAGGGAGATGCTGTTCTGCAAGCTGTGAGTGTGAAATCCACATTGCAAGGAGTGAGAATCCTAAAGAAACTTACAGTGCAGCACAGAAGTGTTAAGGGGACTTCTTCTGTCTTTCCCTCGCTCTTTTTTTTTTTTTTTTTCAGTCTTCATCCTCTTATTTTCATTGCCTTTCTTGAGAGAGGTGGAGGAGCCCTGAGTTCAAGACCCAGGCTCAGCCTCCTTCACATCTTGGCTCCAGTCTCTTGCTGGGCAACCCTGGATAAGGAAACTAACTTTGCTGTGCTGTGGCATTTTGGTCAGCAAAATGTGCCAAATATATATTGACCTCCTGGGGCTACTGGAGTGTTCCATGCGATCGTGCATGGAGAATTGTGTCTAGGAGTATTGAGCACAATGGAAAAGGTAGCTTGTTTCCTTCTTTACAAAATTAACAGCAAATTTAGATGGGAAAATTTTAAGGTATATTTTATGGATTAATACTGATTACTTTGCACTATATTTCCTGTTAATTTTATAATATTTAGTGTTTTGTATTGTATGTGATTTCTTCCTCAGAATTACTAAATTTTAAATTATAGAAAGTTCAGTCATATATTAATAATGGCTCATAGTTTTTTTAAAAATTCACTATTCGCACTTCATAAGGGACAGCTCTTGTGGGTTTTACTGCTTATTATTGGCTTGAAATGGTTTACAGATGATATTAGAAAGGCTCTGACTAACTCTTGAACTTTTCTTCCTTTGTCACGTTTATTTGTTTGTAACTTTACAAGGCATTGCACACAGTCTCTTATTTGGTATTTTCTATCCCTGAGTTTCACAGGCAACTATGAATATGTTCAGTGCCACCCTCTGGTCATACTTGAGCAGGTGATAAGTCCGTGTAATTAGGACATTTTTATTGTGTACTTGTTGGATTGGCACTCAGAGAGGAGTGGTGTGGGCCACCATAGCTTAAGTTGCTCATTGCCTAGGTTGGGAGAACCAGAAACATGCAGTGGACCCCTGACTTATGAACTCAATCCGTTCCCAAGGGCTGGTTGTAACTCAGGTTGGTCAGTGAAGTCTCAGGCTCCTCTGCGGAGCCTTCAGTCTCTCTCCTATAACAGGCAGACCTCAGCATTCTTAGAGAGACACTGGCCCGGAGCTTCTCAGTGAACCCCACACAGGAGAGGGTGCGGTTGTGTCCCTTCCAGAGCTCTGTAAGAGTGCGATCTGTATCTGAGACCTTGTGGAAGCACGAGTGGCTGGCATTTGGGTTGTAACTCAAGACTTCGGTTGTAAGTTAAAACTAGAATTCTGGTAGTAACCCAAGTTGTTCCTATGTCAGGCTGATTGTAACTTGAGGTCTGCTGTGCCTCACCTGGATTTATCCTGGCTAACACTCTCTGAGGAGTGCCCATGGCAGTGAAGTCTTCTGCAGCCCAACATGGTAGCACTTTTCCACATTAAACACCTACTCAGTTGACCCTGGCAGGATCCACAGCTTGCAGGCCTGTGGTCAGTGTGTAGGCCGTGGCTGGCCAGGCATGAGTGGGCTGCTTTCAGACTGTGGTCCCCAAGTGGAAACTCGCTTGGTGAGCACTTCATTTTAAATTCTGCACTAGCATCAGCTCCTCTCCATTTGTGCTGGGAATTTCAGCTCTGAGTAGAGCAGAGACTCTGCTTAATTATAACTTTATCAAAACCATTTATTAAATTCGATGTACCTGCATAGCCTCTTTATCATAAAAATAATTTAGATTAAACTGCCAAGGTTTGACCTTCTCACAGAATTATTTGGATTATTACCCAAGACCCCAATTTTCTAGGCCAGTGTTTCACAAAATGTGATCACCGGATTACTTGAGCACCTTCCTGGATAAGCGAAGTCATAAAATCCTTGAAATTTTCTGCACAGTGATCTTTGAGAACCTATATACACACCTTGAAGAATAAATGGGAGACTAGTGAACGTGAACAGCCTCCCACTTGCCTCAGCAACGCTTACAACAGCAAAAGGTACCTTTTAGTCCGCACCCCAATACGCCTTCAAAGCGGCAGGGTGAGATGCAGGATGGGGTCTCAGCATGAGCAGGGTGTCCTCTCATTTGCTCGATGTCACCGAGTTAGAATCTGGAAACCCCAGGGGAGTTTGAAGGAAGCAAGCTGTCCCTGCGCCATCAGCCGAGTAGGTGTCCTTGGTGGGTTACGCAGAGAGCGCTGTCCCTGTGGACACCGGGGAAGGCGTGCCAGCAGGTCCTTCGTGGCTGGAGCCCACTTAGTCACTAAGCTGGAAGCCATCTAAATATGAAAAACGACAGAGCAGTGCCTCCTGCACACTGCTCCTGTTTCGTATCTACTTCCCCTCTTCTAGCCTGACTCGTCTGTCTTTCAGGATTGAGTCAGGTTTTGTAAGGTCCTTTTCTCTCCTAGGGGCTCCTGTGGGAACAGGGGCTCTTACAGTTTATTTGCTAATTAGTCAAGTGTCATTTCATGATATGTGACCTCCCATTGTTGTAAACTGATGTTTCCGGGCCTGCTGGTCTTCGGGCTTTGGCCTTGCTCCCTCCCTGTCTGCTGCCCCTTCATGCTGCCTGTGGTGCCCACCAGGAGGCCTCAGTGCCGTCAGTAGCGACTTGAGGTCCACTCCGTTCCGATGGGTCTGAAGGAAGGAAGGCAACCAAGCAGCTCTGCCCCAGAAGGCTTGGAGAGAGCATGAAGGTGTAAAGGTCCCTGAGAGCTTTCTTTATGTAACCCCATAGAGCAACAGAACGGAAGGAACGCATCTGGCTTCCCACGCCTTGAGAAATACAGACACCCAGACTTAGAAAACTGACTTTGTATGAGTGTACCTATCTCTCTGTTCATATGCACACACACACAAGCAATATGTAATACACACACACACACACACAAACACGTCTTTAAACACACAAGCTTTCAGTAGCAGGAGACAATATAATTGACTTATTCTTTAGTTTTCCAGCATAGCTTGGAAAGGTTCCAAAGCACTTAAACAGGGCTCTGTTGCCTTAAACAGGCTACCCTGCCATATGGCAGTTTTACTGCTGTGGGGTTCATTCGTAATTGATTTATATTGGATTATGATGATATACTTGATAGTCCATTAAGGAAGCGACTAAGTTCCTGACTACCGGTGTGCACCTATATGAAATCTAAGATTTTTATTTCTAGTTTTTGGTTTCGATCTTCTTATGTGTTTGTCTGTATTTTTGTCGTCCCATCTTAAGCTTCTGTGGCAGGGGAAATGGACCATGCTCATGTATTTAGAGTCATTTTGCTTTAAATTTGATGAAAAGTTATTGTGTTGACAGTCTTTAAGTCTTCAGTGCAGCACTCGGCTACAGTTAAGTTCTCAGTTACTGGTTGACTGGGGTCAGGAAGAGCATAAATCTGCTATGGGTAAAGTCACAAGCACAGCTGTTCAAAGCATTATTAACATTTTAAAACTAAGATCCTAATGAGAAGCAAGATTTGGAAAGATTTGCAATTTTCCTCCTTTTGTTTCCTATCTTTTCCTGAGGTCATTGATAGGTAAAAAAAAAAAAAACAACAAAAAAAAACAAGAAACAGCTACCATAAAAAACATAACCCTTAAATGTTAAAACAGAATAATGAGTCTATGGGAAATGCACATCATTTATCTTGTTACCATCTAATTGTATATCCACCATTAACTGTCATCCCTTAGTTAATATGCAATTACAAAACAATTTGCAAGCCTAATAGGTGAATATTTAAAACCAAGGCAATTAAAACTATCTTATGATTGGCTGAGTGTAGAAGCAATCATAGGAAGAGTGCGGTCTTTCACATATCTGTCTTGAATGAACACCACACCTCAATCCAGGCCAAAAACAAAACAACAACGAAAAACACCAACACCACCAACAACAAAAACACCCTTTGCTTCTTTTGCTTTTACTTTTTAAAAATCTTTTTTGGGCCTCAGCTTCCCAGGCCTGTGGTCCTCAGGGACAGCATCTCTGCACTGTAGTGGAGCTTCTCAGAAGCCCTGGGATTCATTGGTCTCGCCAGTTCAGTCAAAATAACACCATATAAGCAAATAA